ACCAGTGTAATTTGTATATCATGGTGTATGATTTCCTATGTTTTATGAAGCCAGTCTATTGTGACTTATAAAATAAATTATAAACTGTGATTAAACTGAGACCTAATGCCATGTTGTTAAAAAAGGGCAAAGCTTTCACAATTACTTCTCAATATCCATAAGAAATTGTTCCTTTAGGAAATATCTCATCTTACTTTTTCCTTGGGAAAAATTTTAAAAGATATACATTGAAAATTCTTGTTTATCACTGGATTTTGGTTAGCTTGTTTGTCATGGTGTTGACTTGCATCTTCTTCATGACTGTTCTAACCCTGTATTTTTGTGACTGTAATCCCCATTTGGTAAAACAGAAACTAGCAGGTTTTCTTAATAAATCCACAGACAAGTGTTTTCCATAATGCTTCTCCCAGCAAACATTAGTTTAACCCAATTTAATTAAGTGTATATTATCCTCTCGGTAACGGTTTCACCATACCTGCCCATTCTAGAAAACTATGAAATTTTATTCAGTTGCTTGGCTACATTAACTTCCCCCAGGAGTAATTCCTAGTGAGGCCTTGTTTTGTAGGCAGCTAAGATGGAGGAGGCTGATATTAACTGGTAATAAATTCAGAAAGAAGAAGGACTGTGGTCATTACAATTAAGTTGCTGCAGGCTGTTCTAAGTAATTACAGCCAGTAATCAACCATGGATTTCCCATTTTATCTTCATCTTATAAAAGAGTTTAACTACATTCTCCTGCCAAGCCCCTAGTGTCTAAGCATTACTTACACATTCAATCTTGGCAGTAAATGCCAATTTTAAATGTTCTGCGGAGAAGTTGTGAAGATGGGAAATTACATCTAGAATATCCCTTTGTTTCTCCAGCTAGGTGTAAATTAACAGCTACTTGCTGGACTTTATAAATGCTATTTATGATTAGACTTCTATGCCATCCGTTTTGCCCAGGCGATAAGGCAGCTTATAGTCAGATACCATATAAAACATTACAAAGGAAAGAAAAATGATAAATAAGAACTGCGTGGTTAAAAGTTCAGATAAAATTTGATTAACCAGGATGGGAAGGAAGGGAACAAACTGTGCATGGGGAGGAGCTGGAGTCCCTGACTAACCCATTAACTACCACTAAGACACCATGTTCCCATTGGGGCTATGGGCCAGCTGGCAGAGCCATCTTCAAGTCCTTTTGGGAGGCCAGAAGGGAAGGTGCATATCTCACCTTAGAGGGGAGGGAGGATGTTCCAGAGGGCGGGCACCACTCCCTATATCAAAAGGAAATCTTTAAAGAACCACAGGATTGTCTGGAGATTTCTACCTCACCATTATTCTCAATCTCCAAACTCACAAAATCAGTTTAAATTTGGTTTATCCCAATCCTCCAAGCAATTGGTTGTAAAAATAATAAAAATAGTTGACGCAAATTATTGATACAACTTCTCCAGCAGCAACAGTCTACTGTGTAGAACCTACTCCAATTTCAGAGACAATTCCTCCCCCCACCACCACCAACAACAAAAAAGCCCAAGCCATTGCAGCCAACTGGTCTCCACTAAAGAGAGAGGGGAACCAGAGCAATCTCTAGTTCACATTCACCTCACAACCTTCCCTTGGCTTTATGGGTAGGATCTGAAAAACCCTCAAGCCACCTTTTCCCTTGAAGAATCTGCAGGAGCAAGGGTGTCAAACTCAATTTCATTGAGGGCTGCATCAGGGTTGTGTTTGACCTCAGGGGGCTGGGGGGTGCGTGGCCAGGGTGGGCATGGCCAGCATGATGTCCACTTTTGGTATGACAACCTCCTGTAGCTCTCTGCCAGCAAAAATAGAGTTCGGTGTTCGGTCCTCCTAAAGTCCATTTTCACTGGCAGAGGCACCACGGGCTGGTCCTTCGCTAATTCCAAGGCAGCCCTGTGGGCCAGATCTAGCAGTCCGCATGCCGGATCTGGCCTGCAGGCCTTGAGTTTGACACTACTGTGCTAGAGCATCTGAACTCAGGGCTGGATGAAGCATAGCAGAACATCTGACATCTCATAAAACCCCCAGCCTGACTTCCCTGCAATTACAGATGGGCCAGAAAGAAACCAGCTTGGTTCTCCAGCATGGATTTTGGGGAATTACCAAGATCCAAAGCTGCTTTTCAGCTGCCTTAGAGTCTTCATGTAAGGGTGTTTTGTGTTATCTTTAGGGCAATAAGCTAACACAATTGTTCTGGGTACAAGGAAAGTGGGGTCGCTTTCATCAACCAATGCCATTGTGCTGGACTTCACAGTCATGATTTCTCTGTGGCTGCATCTATCCTGTAGAACCCTATCACTGGTGGGTTTCAAATCCTGTTCCAACTGGTACGGTTGGAACGGGCCGGCAGCACCGTCATGGACGTGTGCAGTGCGCACACATGCATCTTAGCACTTCCGTGATGCTCCAGCTGCTCCGCAGAGCATTGTGCAGGTGCTGTACATGCCATGCGCTGTACGTGCCATGTGCATGCGCGGAAATGCAGAAGCCTTAAAACACAGGTAAGGAGCTTGGGTGGGTGGGTGAGCCCTCTGAAGCACCATACCAAAACAGTATCCGGTGCTCCGGGCTGGCTCTGGTACGCCCGTACTGGGGCATACTGCCTGCAACCCACCACTAAACCCCATAGTCCCAGATATCCAGATGGCCCTAAGCCTTTTGTAAGCTTTTGAAGACTTAGCTGTCCTCAAGCCATTTGGGCTCAAAGTCATTGCTATGAGATGCCTGACTTTGCAAATCATTTAAATAAATAATACAAACAAAGAAATTCAAATAACAGCTGCAAAACTGGTGGAAATCTTTTGATGCAGGTGACAATGGGGGTTGAGTTATATGAACATACATGTACTTGTTATCCAGAGGTTTCAATCCATTGCGTGATTTGTAAACATTTAGAAGCAGACACACATATCTCTTTGGGCAGACCAGACATGACTGGTTTAAATTCTTGATTGTTTTATTTTTGCTCTGTAACAGAAGGGGGGAGGGGGGGCTGAAATCTGAACCAGACCCTGCAATGCTCTGTTTTCTCTTCAAACTTGTGCCCTGAAGCTCTGTGTTATCCCAATGGATTGTTGTAGGAAATAACTTTGTGTGTGAGAGGAATCCTCAACTAAATCAGATATGCCCAAATCAAACTAGGATGTGGAAAGCTACCTTCAGCTCACCTGGAATTCCACCATCTCCACCACCCTGTTGGCCTTGGAGTTGAAGGATGCAATCAATACAATGCAAGCAGTTCCATTTGATGAGATTCTCAGACGAGTGGCATATTCCTGACACATGTTTCTGATCTCAAGATATGGAAAGCTGGGGAAAGGTCTTGTCTTCTAAAGCATGTTGAACAGGGGAACTTTGGGACCTGACATCCACACATATTAAAGTAGCTAAGGTTGAGAAACATTGTTCCTAAAGGGCAGCTGTTTCTCAGAACCATCTTTGCAGCTTTTCCTGAATCCAGCTCATAGACATTTTTTTAATCTTTGTTGTCTGGTTTAGCCCAAATGCAATCTAGAGATATCCATCTTTTAGCAATAATTGGTCAACTATTCCAAATTACATCATTTGTTTTATGAATGTTTGCTTCTTTTCAAGTATAAAATAAATAATGAATTAAACAAGGAGATGCTGCAATGGCAAAGTTACAAGGCTTAACTTTTAGGTATGGAAAAGGTTGTCAGAGTTTGATGCAGCCATCACATCCAGAGAGCACACACAGCTAACTGATTCAGGAGGATCCATTAACTTCTCTTTATATATAATATAATACATGAAGTAAATATACAATACCAAAAACTGGTTCTTCCAACGTGGTAGAGAGTACAAGCAAACACAGGCAGAGGAGAGAACAGTTTCAGTTCAGAGCAGCAAACTAGTTTTTTTCCCCAGCTCAGCACAGACTCAGAGCTGCACAGCTAAGCCACGTCCTGGCTCCTAGCTGTTTCAACTTCCTTTGGCTGAGCTTGTTACTAAGCCCTATTCCAGTTCATGAATATACACTGACAAAGGTACCGCCTGGAAATTAAGAAATTCCCTGAGGATGAGCTCCAGCACAAGTCTGAAAGCTCAGAAGACAAAACCTCTGGTCCCGGTGACCAATTTAGACTGGATCCTGAAACATTATCCTGTGACACCTATATTTGCCTTCATTTGCATGTAAAGGACCATATACTTCAAAACAATCCTACCCATTATATGTGCTTATCTTCAGGGGAGCATGCTACACGTGGCCTTTCCAAAAGAGATTTGGGCAGAGAGAGTGTCCTGTGAGAGCACCCTTCCTTTTGGAGTCGCCTCCCGCCCAGCCACGGATACTGTCGCTGAATTTTGAGAAGCTTTTAGAATTGCCCTATTCAGAAAGGCCTTTGAGGCATGACATCTGTTTCTTGGATGGATATTTATACTATGAAAAAAAAGAAAAAGAATGTAACAGATCTCAGTTGAAGTGGAAAGCCATCTGATCTTACTGAGTAGAATTGGTGAATATAAGCATGGAGATGAATGTGTAAGTTTAATTATGAATGCAAGCAGTAAAAATAAAGTCAGAATCCCCCTTTTTATTAATTTATATTTAATTTTAATTTATATTTCCATTATATTTTAATTATGAAGAAGAACACTAAAAGGGAAGTCAGAAAGTAGGAATCCATAGGTTGTTGATAGTAACATGCTAGCGTCCAAAGAGCAGTGATGCTGGAAGAACCAGATATGATCTTTGGGAAAACGGATGTGACATTTTGGATAAACATGATCCAGGAGAAAAGATTCAGGTAGCTCTCATAAATGGATACTTGGCAAAGAAATAAGAGAGTAAAGAAAAAGTAATCGATCCCTTCAAAATCCCAAGAATGAATTAAAGTCAGAGGCATCTTCTACTAATTTGGCATTTTTGCATTGCCAAAAAATGACAAATCTTCATCATGATGTCATGATGAAGAATTCGCCCTTTCATGTTTTTATGTTCTGATGATCATGTTTTATGTTCTCAGATTGGCTGCAAATATGTAACTCCTGGGACCTGTGCTGTGATGTCATGACAGATGTTTTGTCACTTGCTCTCTCCATGGGGCCAATATGAGCGTGTTGAATGGTGAGTATGCTTCTTTTAAAATTAAAAGTTTCAGCATGAGCCTGTACTCTATACTCTATATCCGTGATGGCGAACCTATGGCACACATGCCACAGGTGGCACATGGAGCCATATTTGCTGGCACATGAGCCGTCTGCACCAGCATGCTTGTGCATGCCAGTCAGCTGATTTTCGGCCTTCCAGGGGACCGTTTTCATCCTCTCCAGGCTTCAGGAAACCCTCCGGAGCCTGGGGAGGACAAAAAACAGGCCCAATGGGACAACCGGAAGTTCGGAAACGATCCATTTCTAGCTTCTGGAGGGCCTCCAGGGGTGGACGTTTTCGCCCTCCCCAGGCTTCAGGAAATCCCCCAGAGCCTGGGAAGGGTGAAAAACAGGCTTAACCGGCCAACTGGAAGTTCAGAAATGATCTGTTTCTGGCTTCCGGAGGGCCTCCAGTGGGCCAGGGGTGGCCATTTTTGCCCTCCCCAGGCTTAAGGAAACCCTCTAGAGCCTGGGGAGGGTGACAAACTCCCCTGCACGTGGGGGTGTTGTGTGCGCATGCACACGGGGGAGGGGTGTCACGCATGCATGCGCAGGTGGCCAGGGCACATTGAATTTTGGGTGTTATCAGCACAAATACAACAAAATGTAACAAAAAGGCAACAGTAAAAATATTGGGTTTCTGCCTGGATGGTCTCTTGTGACGAGCCGAAGGACAGAGAGTGGAAGTGGTGATCTTCCTCCCATAAAGATATGCCTCCTGCGGAGGCCAAAACAATATTTCCCCAAATGTAGCTCCCCCTTCCCCATTGTTTATTGCTCCTTATTTTTTTGCAGTTGTATCAATGTCACTACATAGCTGCACAATAATTGCTAGAAGAGGTTCTCAAGTGAACTGCCAGGGATAAGAACATAAACAGTGCCCCTGCTGGATTGGATTGTTGACCTATCTAATCCAGCAGTCTGTTCTCACAGTGGCCAACCAACTAATTGCCCAAGAAATATTTAGTCTCCCAGCGGATGGCATGAGAGTTAGTCACACTGTCCTTAAGGCTAATAGAATTGGTCCAACCCCCCCCCCTTTTTTTAAGCCAACCAAGCAGATAGTCGGCACCACATCCAACGGTAACAAATTCCAAAATTAAATAATATGTTGTTTAAAAAAATTCCAAAAGATAACCTGGCAATCATCAAATCACAAAAGACTGCATTTGAATTGAAGTTCTATGATCAGGATCTCAGGCTTATCTTTTTTAAGTGAATACTGAGCTTAAATTCAAGGAAATGGAGCGTATTAGTTCAGACCCCATAGTAACGGCCTTCTGTATTGTGAAAAACAATTGCCTTTTCCCATCCACCTTTAATTTAATCTCATTTAAAAAAAAAACTGTAATCACTGTACATAATGCAGCTGAGGCAACTGCATCTATAACAAGTTGAGAAATCTCCCAAGGGAGTCAGATCTAACTGTTTAATCTAACCAGATTGCCATACATGGAAAAACAAAACACTATGATCTTTTTGGCGGAGGAAGTGACACATTAAGTGTCCCTGTCTTATCTCGCAATGGATATACAGAGCTATTTCATAAGTATTCATAACAGGGGTGAAATTCAGCAGGTTCTGGAGAACTGGTATGGAAATTTTGAGTAGTTCGGAGAACCGGCAAATATCACCTCTGATTGGCCCCAGAGTGGGGTGAGAATAGAGATTTTACAGTATTCTTCCCCTGCCATGCCCACCAAGCCATGCCCATAGAACTGGTAGTAAAAAAAAAATGAATTTCACCACTGATTCATAACCTATTATTTTTAAATATGTGGCTTTTAAAACATTTCCACCACAAATGCTAAGGTCATCCTGTACACAATTCTTTCTTTCTTTCTTTCTTTCTTTCTTTCTTTCTTTCTTTCTTTCTTTCTTTCTTTCTTTCTCTCTCCCTTCCTTCCTTCCTTCCTTCCTTCCCTCACTTGCTCCCTCCCATCTTTCTTTCTTTTCTTTTCTTTCTTTCCCACCCATCTATCTCACAAAGGGACTCTAGGCAGTGTACAAATTTGATAATCCCATTTATGGTGTACTCCATATACAAACATAAATAAGGCATGTCTTTTTATTAATAATAATTGCAATCAATACACTTACACGGATGGGGAATTTTTACAGACATGGGGAATTTACTTTCGAGATGTTGCTGAAGAACAACTAAGGACCCCAACTAGCATGGTGAATCAAGTGATACGTTGAAGTTGCTCACTTCTGTTGGCTTTGTCACATTTTTGCCTTTTAATATTCTCCTAGAAATATTAAATGAGAGCTGAAGAAGCTTCTTGGTTGAGAAGTGAAACGTCTTCAAAGAAAAAGCAGAAAATCCAATTGCCTCTATAAAAAGCACTTTTGGCACAACATGACCTGGATGACTGAGAATCTCCATAGATATTCTCCTAGAAAACTGACTATCTTCTTAATGGGAGAAGATAGCAATGGGGAGGTGGGGAATAACTTTTCCTATTTATTTGTATCACAAGGTGATCTAAAATTCCCTTCCAAGCTACCTTTCTTTAACTGATTCTCTCTCTTCTCCTCAGTCCCCAAACTTGAAAGAACATTCAGGAACCAACTAGCATCCTCCCCAATTTTGGAACCAGAACTCTACCATGTTTCCCCGAAAATAAGACAAGGTCTTATTTGTGTTAGGATTATGGAGACAGGGTCTTATTTTCTTTTGACCTGCAAAATAAGCACTTAGTTTTGGGGAGGTCTTATTATTTATGAGGTGCAGGAGGGGGCGAGCGTGGTCACCTCATGGCTGCTACTGTTGCAATATTTTGGGCGAGGGCTTATTTTCAGGGAAGGGCTTATTTTAGCGCATGTGCTCAAAAGCCCGATTGGGCTTATTATCCGGGTGTGTGTCTTATTTTAGGGGAAACAGGATAGGTTATTTTGCTGTGGTTCCTGGCATCTTCATATCCAAAATGGAATAATGTGATAAAAACAGAAGAATTCTTCCTTGTGCCATCCAACATCCCACTGTTTTGTTTTGTTTAATGTCTGTGCCGAATCTATAAACATCCTAAATCAACTTTGTAGTCCACAGCGATTCTTGCTTGGTAATAATCTTCTTCTTGGCAGGTCCACTGGTTCTCCCTACTGTATGAGGTTTGATTGGCAGCAGGAAGAAAAAGATTTTTATCAGACCAGAGAGGTCACTGAACAAACAAGATCATGCTGTTCCTCCAAAAGCACATCTGCTTTTTCCAATCAAAGCTGCTGGTAACCATGACCAAACCAATATCTCTGCTTTGTTATATAAGGTTTCTGCTCCCCCCACCCCGACTTCTCTTAGACTTCTCTTCTAATCTGCTCTAGTTTCAGGAATAGGTTCCAGTCCAGCCAGCACAAATCACACAGGAAGGGGGTGTAGGCTTCACCGGTTAGATGCAGCTACACAACGTTTCTGCCTTGGCTTAGCCTTCATTCTGTCAATGGATCCTGCTAAAGCCTGAGGGGCACTGAATAGTGGTGAACAAAAGCATGTCCCTCACAATTAACTCTAGTGTATTTTGCTATAGTGGTTGAAACTTCACAAAGGATAAGTTGGATGAGTAGTTAATCATTTGCCCATTACTGAAAATGAACGAGGGTGCTGATTCAACATACAGATCCTAGTTATTGCAGATGGCAACCTTTCTCAACTTGATATCTCCAACTGTGTCAGAACTGTGTTCTTTCCAACACCAACAACCAGGAATTTGGGTGGAAATTTAGAGACAGTTATGGAAAGCATGAAACTAGAAAAAGTTGATGGATGGTACTTGGAAAAAGCTTAATCTGGAGAGTGACAGAAACACGCATGCATTTAAGTATGAAACAGGACTAAGACCAAATGATGAACTAATTATATTTGCTTTGAGTCCAAATTGGAAAGTCACAGTGAGGATTCTAATGGGTTTTTCTGGTTATGTGGTTTGCATAATGCTAACTTCATTTTAATGTGTGCTGCCAACTAGCAACTAAAGACAATAAGAATCTATTAGGTTATCACAAGGAATCGATTACCTCCAGATTTTGGCAAACTACAAGTCCTAGTGGTTCCAGCCAGTATAGTCAAGAGGAAGGATCCTGGGGGCTCAGTAATAAATAAAGGAGTACAGCTCCCATAATCTGGGTGTCTCTAATGAAAGCATTCCCAGTTCCTGCTTTCTGCATAATTTTAAATTTTCAAGCGCTTTTCCATTTATCTTTTTATGATCTGTAAGCTATCCAGAGTCATCTTACTGGGGAAATGGACAGCAAATAAATTTGATAAATACAGTAAATACATTCCCAAACAATTCAGGCAGTTGGGTCTGTACACAGACTGATAGCAGCTTTCCATAATGACAGAGAACAAACCTCTGCTGTTTTGTTGGGTGTTCCAAGAACTGAAACCAGAACCATTTGTATTCTATGTGCTACTACTGATTTATAATACTTAGGTCAGAAGGGAATCCATGACCAATCTCCAGTTCCTAATATATATGGCCATAGTGGGCTGGACACAGGTTTTCTCTAGCCAATCAAATGAAGCATTTCCCCCACTAGTTTATGCAACTATCAATCTCAAAAGCCCATTTTCAATGCTCTCACTTCCCTGTTCCTGAAGACAAAAGAACAGACATCAGAAAACCAGCTTTTCCATGTGTGTTTCACTGCTTATTTGGTACTCAGGACATTTTTATGACATCAGGAGATTATTTCCCCCCTCTCAATTCTAGGTTTCTGATGTCTAAATTGATCTTACTATTCCTGGATGCTTTTATTACTCAATTTACATTCTTGATTGTTTTCTTGCACTGTCATTCTGCAACAATTTTGAGAGCAACTCTACTATATGTATATTTGGGGCAGTGGTGGGTTCCGGATCCCTTTGTGACCGGTATGCTGCTACGGGGCCGGCCGTCCACCACTGCCCCAAATACATCCACCACTGCCGTACGCTGTGTGTGCCTGTGCCAATGGCCCAGTTGGCTTAAATACAGGAAAGGAACGAGAGTGGGCAGGTGGGCCCTCCAAAGCATCATTCCAGTACAGTGACCACTGCTCCCAGCAGCCACCGGTATGCCCATAGCAGGACGTACTGGCTGGAACCAACCACTGATTTGGGGTGTTCCGTAATGGACTGAGGGCTGGGCTATAGTGTAGTGTTTATGAAGTTGGACCTGAAGTAGGGAAACTAAACATCAAGCGGTATTCATCCAATCAATCTCAATTTTCTTGTGGGAGTATAATTAGTTAAGACTCCCCCACCAGAGTCATCTTGAACTCTGAGAGAGATATTGGTCTGAAAATACATTTGACGGTGATGATAATTAATAATAATTATGTTGGAACTGGATTAGTGTAAAAAAATGTTATTCTTCACAAGTGACAGATTTTACCCATAATATTAAGACTTGAATAAGCTACAATTTAATAAATCAAAGCTCAGTATGTGAACTCTGCCTACATAAATCTGCCACTTCAGGATAACATTCCACATATCTGATGAAATGGATTCTTCTACACTTCACCAAATCTAATGTTGCCATAAATCTGTTATGTCTTTATATTTTACGGTGGTTAGCTTGATATTCTTTAACACAGAACTGTAATGAGCGATTAAAAGAGCCCAGACACAGGGGCAAATGAAATCTTACCCATTTTGTTCAGAAGATGGTTACATTCTCCTCCAATATTGGGGTCTTGAGAGACTTTGGACTACATTGCCCATCTTTCAAGTCAGCATTAACATGGATTCTAATAGGTCTAAAAGGAACTTCACTGGAAATGAGGGTGAACTGGGTGGGCGTTTCATAGGCTATAACATGTGAAATTCATTCCCAGCTCATACATTATTTTACTCTACATCATGCTCCTTTTGCACTTTATAGGACTTTAAAAAAAAACTTCCTGTAATTATAGCTCGGCAGATGCAAGAAAGAAGTTCACCAATTTCTGTCCTCTCTCTGATCTCATTGCACTCTGGTCTTCAAAAACTTGAAGTCCACATTAGCTGAAGGGCTATAGCTAGAGAAGGCAAAGATCAGAAAGGCCACCCTTTCAGAAAGACTTCTCTGGGTGGAGAACACATCAGGTGTAAAATCTACACAAGATGTCAATTTATATCTTTTATCCTAACAAACACAGTGATGGGAACAGTAGCTATTAGTCAATTTTGGTTTCTATTCTTGTTTTTCTGTTTCGCCTTCCCAGGGACCTCAAAATGCTCTGATCTCCCCTTCTGCAACCTGACACTCTCCAAAGGGTCTAAAGCAGTGGTGGGTTGCAGGTGGTACGCCCCGGTACAGCCATACTGGAGCCTGCCCGGAGCATCAGATACTGTTCTGGTACAGTGCTCCAGAGTGCCCACCCACTGCTTGAGCTCCTTACTTGTCTTTTAAGCCTTTGACGCTTACGCGCACATGCATGGTACATACGGCACCTGCACGATGCTCCGCCAAGCCGCTGGAGCATCACGGAGGCTTGCAGAGATGTCACAGGCAGGTATGATGCATGCACACATTGCGTGCGTGTGCACATTCACTGCACACATCCATGTGGGTGACACCAGGCCCATTCAAACCATACCGGTTGGAATGGGATTTGGAACCCACCACTGGTCTAAAGACTGGGCTTCCTAATATTTTCAGCCATGGGGCATTAATGAAGTTGCAACCCTCACACACACACAGAGTTCCTGAATGAGGACGTATGCGCTAAACAACTGACCCAAGAAGTCTAAGCAAACAGGGATGGGGTTAGGAGGAAGTGGATTTTTTTCCCCTTCCTAAAGTCTGCATGAAAAAATCCACTTCTGGAGATCCATTCAGATTAGATCTGAGGCCATTCAAATATTAAACCTATTACTGAAGTATATGCTTGGCAGTAGCTGCTGCAGTCACCAAAGGAGTTTTACATCCAAAAATGCCTTGTTGAACACTAGGGTAAATGTATTCCACTAACCAAGTCTGGAAAAAATATTATTTTACCCTTCCTTTTTTTGAAAATAGGAATTGCTTCCCCTACTCTTTAAAACAAGTGGGACTTAAGGTAGACATAATGGCACTGGGGTTTATCTTCCCCACACATTCTACCCTCGCCATTCTGGGGATGCTATTCTCTTGGCAATCTTTGCTGGTTAGCAATATATAGAGAAGTGAATAGTAGGCCCAGTTATGGAAGCTACCAGATAACATACAATATAAGCCATAACAAAAAGCCACTGATGACTTTCTCTTCAGTCTTGGATAACAGGCCATGTAAAAGCCTGATTCCAATGATTTCAGAGCCCGGAGACTCTCTGGTAGAGTACAAGTTGATTACTTGATGTTGAATAGCAGCTACACTAGAAAAAGTTGGCATATTCACTGTACCATTTTTCCCTCTCTTGCTCGTTCTTATCACTTTTTATGCCTTCCCATCCTTCAAAGCTTTTTGAAGACATCCTCCAATCAATTGTCTTCATTTTAGTCAAGAAAAATGCTTAGAACCAGAAGTGAAAATGAGTGATTTGGCCAGGTTCTGCAAAATGACCTCCCAGGCTCAGTCAATGAGAAATCGAGGCAAAATAAATCACTTCTCCTCCTCCACTAATCCATACTTCCTGTTGCAATTTTCTAGCTGTCTGCCAAAAATTCATCTTCATCATTATCATCACGATGATGAAGTAACTTCTATTGAGGAAGCTGAAAAGCAGTTAAACCCCCTTTACCTTGAAAGACCTAGTGGTACAGGTATAATCCAAGAACTGAAAGGCAGGATGAGGCAAGAATTCTTCAAATGGGAGAGGGGAAAAGGAGTAGAATTTAAAAAATGAACCATCTTTGCAACGGTTTTAAATATACCACAACTGAACTAGTAATGCATTGGCTCATCTGTTGAGCAGAGATAAAGTGGTGACATGGATATACATTCACTGTTTTTTTCCTCTCATATTTCTCAGCCTCCCCATCTTAAAGTTTCCTCTTGTTTCCCCATGTCTTTACTGCAATCATGTTTTAAATCAAACCATCCTCATGAAGCCTATTTAATTGCTTTCAATCAGTACATTGTACAGTGATTGCAGCTCTGCGTTGTTGTTTTTTAAAAAAATATTCCAATGTAGCAAACCTGCATTTCACAAAAATGAACTAGTGCCTGGGCTAAATAAACAGATCCTTCTCCTCTTTCCCCCATGCCATTTTAATGGGGTTTTTTTCAGCAGAAAAAAATGGGTGCAGATTCTGAAACATCTTTTCAATACTGTACAAGAGTAGCTTAAAAGACCACCATACACTCTTGCTTTAGCACAAGTGTTGGGAGTGATTTACTGGGACTAATTATATAAAGTGACAGTGTTATCCTACAAGAAGAGGTATTCATCTATTTTAGACATTTCTAACATGTTGGCCTCCAATAGTGTTGAATAATAACTTGTTTCATTTTCAGCCTATTCCTATTTCATGAAACATCCAAGATTGCTGATTGGAACAAGATGAATTCATTGTTAATTGGACTACTTTCTTTTAGTCTATTTCCAGGATGAATGATTCTTACTTACTTATCCTTCTTCCCTCATTCTTTTTAAGATTCATTTCGATCAAAGTATTTTCACTTTTCTGGCAAATATTTAATGGAATTCTGTAGGCATAGACATTGCAGGACAACCATATTTATCTATGGCACCAAAAAATCAGGAGTCTGACAGCTTTTTCCAAATAAAAGTATTTATTAAGAGCTTTCATGAGCTATACCTCATCATATCTATCTATCTATCTATCTATCTATCTATCTATCTATCTATCTATCTATCTATCTATCTATCTATCTTACCCGGCAGCCCTTGAAGAGCATTCGG